TTTAACATCTTTTCACTCGCTGACTGAACGAAACAAGGTGACTGCAACACAAACAAAGGGTTCCGTAATCTGACCATTGTAGTAGATGATTGATTGTTTGATATTGGTGCAAATGGGTTCCAGAACTCAATCTGGCCGTCTTGTGAGACTGTTTTCGTGCTGACTGAAGTCCAATACTTGTCGTTGCCCTTTCTAAAATTCACTTAATGTGCTGTCGTATCGTTTTATTCCATGAGAAAACTTAAAAAAGACAGCCAAGGTACTCAGCAAGAATCAAGAAAAAAATTGCAATTAAGCTCTCAAGATCTAAGAAAACTTAAATTACTCGAAGAAAAAATTCGTATGTTTTTCAGGTAGATCATTTTGTTCCAACCACGCCGCAAAGTAGCGGAGCCAAAACATCGCGTAGGGTATTTATTTGGCAGCGTATGGACTATAATAACAATAAATTTAAAGTTAATTGTCCAATACTGGTCTTATTGACAATTTTTTCAAGCCTCAATAAGTTTTAACAAAAAGCTCAAGTGTTTTTTTTCTAATTTGAGCTCGGGATATCAATGATTTTCAGACTACGGAAAACGAATTGAAAAGTCGAAATTTGTCTGGAGGAAAGACACCACTCCGAGCACAATAATTTTTGAATGTCGGAACATTAGCAACTGAAAATGATGCAATCATTTCACATAAGACCTTTTGCTCAAATGAATTTTGAGCGCAACTGCTTGATCAATTGCGCATCTCATTCATTTTTTTTCAAATGTCACTTAAAATTTTGTAAAAACCAAGAAATTGTTACAATTTCTGAATAAAATGACGGAAAATTGTGTTCGGGTTAATTTTTTCCCGGCAAACATCATTCGCAAACATCATTCTTTTTTTTTGCGAAGTTATAATTGTTTGAATTTGGGACTACTTTGATGACTACATTGCAAATTTGGATAGTTAACGCGCAATATTGTTCATCCTCATAGAGCCTACGCGCGAAATTAAATCATACAGATTTGAACTGAAGTAGGCAATTTGACATTATGTAATCCTTACCAGACGCTTCATATATATAAAAATTATGAAGCTCTTTTTTACTTTTTTTAAATTAGAATAACTGTAGATCAATTTTAGAGGGCAGTAAGAACATTTATTGGCTTCACACTCATACCAGCAGTCTTGTGATGTATTATTCATATACTTTGAGTGATACTTGCCCAGATATTTTGAGATGACGGTTCCTCCACAGAATCCGTTGTCTTTGATGGAATAATAGACGTACCAGGGGTGCTTCGCGATCGAGATCTCATCCCCATTTATGATTCTGGAACTGCCTACAGCGTCTGTCCGGATGTCACTTCTGTAGGTGCCTGGAACTGGTTTGTCTAGACAACCGGCGGTTGGGTCTTCTTTTTCCTCAGGATCAGACCAACATACATCACCTACCTGAAAAATCAATGCTTTTGAAAGTATTTTTTTTTTCATGTCTTCTGCGTTTAACCTCTATGAGCCGCGTATCACTAACTTAAGAAGTAAAACAAAAACTTCTGCTTCAGTACTAAGCTTGTAAATGGATCTCAAAATGGTCTGTCAAAGAACTTGAGAACCTCCAACTACAAGTTTTAGGTTTTTGAATTATACCTTTCAGTTTGTATATTTTCAATCGTATTCTCATCTTAGAAAACTGTTTTTGAAAGTGAGGGTGAAAATCCCAGAAATCTGGGAGTAGTGCCATCAAAGCAGGTAAAGATTAAAATTTTAGGGACTTGCAGAAGACTGTTAATTAAGATTTATTCAATTTTCTTTTGATTTTTTTCTCGGCTTAGAATAGTTTTTTGACCAAGCAAAGAACTTGGACCATGGTTGACCTCAAACAATCGCGTTTTAATTGACATACTTAGTCTCTTTGTGTTCACCAAAAACTTTTTTTGCGGTTATAGACATCAAAATTGAGATATTTAATTTGAGGAACTACCTTACAATCCGGTCCTGTGAACCCATTTGAACTGAGCAGTACTCGATCTGAGCAATGGAATTTCTGTTCACTCTCACATTTCACTTGATTTAACATCTTTTCACTCGCTGACTGAACGAAACAAGGTGACTGCAACACAAACAAAGGGTTCCGTAATCTGACCATTGTAGTAGATGATTGATTGTTTGATATTGGTGCAAATGGGTTCCAGAACTCAATCTGGCCGTCTTGTGAGACTGTTTTCGTGCTGACTGAAGTCCAATACTTGTCGTTGCCCTTTCTAAAATTCACTTAATGTGCTGTCGTATCGTTTTATTCCATGAGAAAACTTAAAAAAGACAGCCAAGGTACTCAGCAAGAATCAAGAAAAAAATTGCAATTAAGCTCTCAAGATCTAAGAAAACTTAAATTACTCGAAGAAAAAATTCGTATGTTTTTCAGGTAGATCATTTTGTTCCAACCACGCCGCAAAGTAGCGGAGCCAAAACATCGCGTAGGGTAGGTTTTTTTCTGCTCATTTTTAGGGACTTCAAGGAAAGCTTGACACAAGAAAAGCTTTTTTATCTCCAAAAAAACTCAAAAAGTTGTATCCGCGTCTAGAAGAATTGATCTGAACTAAGTGTTCCCGAAATTCTCCCTAAAACTGATGACACTGCTACTGAAATCCAGCTAAAATTTACTGCAATTAAAGCTGTAATGATTATTAACTTTGTGGTTCTTAAGTAATTTATTTTCAGCTTTACTAAAAATTATTCAGAAAAATTAAAGTAGAAAAAACTGAAGTTATGAAGAAAATTTAGATATGAATTTTTTCCGATGTTCAGTTATTTCTGTTGATTGATTTTTTTAACAGAAGCGGGCAATCTTTGTTTTTCCAGTTTTTGTTATTGTTGCGGCCATTCAAACTGGGGAGAAACTTTGTATTCGGGTGTATTTTGATTTTTTTTTGTTTCCTACGCAAAATCAGATACTGGGTTTTTTTCCACCCATTATCATCGGACTGGTTGAGCAATATATCATATTAAAGCCCATTCAGTCGTAATTTGAACTACACTAAAAACTTTCAAAAAAAAATCCCAGTGACGAGTAAAACCTGTTTGAAATTTATGGTTTTTCGTCTAATTTGACAAAATAAAGTGATGATAACATGTTTTAGTCGGATGTTAGTTTTGAAAGCTATTTTTGGCATTTACCTGGCAGGAAATTTTTTTAAAACTAGAAAAAAATGTTCTAAATAGACAAAATTTCGAAATTGTTTTTTGATTTTTTTTTTTTCATTTTCGTTTGTTTTTTTTTCTTAAGACAACTGTTGTCGATTATGCCAAATTTATTTTTTTTACGCGGGTGAGCATAGTTTTGTCATCACATCATGTACAAAAAACGACACTAATGTTGAGGAACTTAATACTTTTATTTGTAGCACTTATGAATGTGGTCGGAACATACAGTGCCTCTTACATAGCAACCTGCTATCGTTGTTTATTTTTAAAATTGTTCGAAGTTTACTTCAAAACAAAAATAACTTACTCAGCTAGCAATGATCGACATCTTTCGCATATGGCTACGGCTTTGTCATATGTGTTTGCGCCTGAGAACTTGACCGAGTATAAATTGGCCACGCTGTCTTCTTGATCTCTAACGCGTTGGACGGCAACTATTATCCCCATGGAGACGAAGGTTAAGACTAGTGTACTAAACCCATCATCTCAAATCCTTTTTTGAATATATTTGAAGTTTAGAACTGAATGTCTTCTAGGAAATACACAAAACCCTAATCTTACGAGAACTAGAAGTACTAAGTTTGCTTCGCTTAACCTTCGTCGAAAAGAATAATTATGGTTGGAATGTTAATCAGAATCCCTTTAGTTTTCCTCATTTGAAGTTGAAAATATGAAGTATACTAAATATTCTAACAAAGGAGTTAATGATTGATTTTAAAGGATATCAAAAGTGCCCACTTATTTCGTATAGTTTCAATGTTTAATGCACTTTTCATTTCATCGAAAATATTTTTAGATCACGTTGGTTTTAACCAAAAAGAGATAGATGGAAAATCACACCATCCTCGACCATATGATATGATTTGCCAGCATCAAGCAGATCTTAGTCTCTACAAGTTAAAATACAGAAAAAGCAGCATGCCGGATCTTCTTAACTATATCCTCCCTCGGGTACCTAGTAACGAATACCCCCCCCCCCTTATCAAGAAAAAAATCAACGGTTAGGCATATCAGAACTTTATACCTGTGACGAATCTCCCCCTTCTGCAAAAGGGGGGATATAGTTGAAGAGATCCAGCATGCCCAAATGCATGATTCTGTTAGCCTAGATCATTTAGCACAATTTTATGGTGCTTCAAAGTTATCGGCAGATTTAACCAGAATACCATTCCATTCTTCCTTTTTGCATGAGCTAGTCATGGAAAGGCATGTTTTAGACCCAAGACTCCCCAAGTTTCACCCAAAATTCTCGTAGTTAATTGAAACAGGTTACCACGAGCTAGTTTAACATACGGTAATATTCAAAATCTAAAGAGGTAAAACTGGTCACTGTTCTTCGCTGGATAAAACTATTGAACTTTCCACACTAAGCGCCGACTATTTCTCTGCCTACGCATAACTAGAGTCAACTTTGGGTCATTGTGAAATTTGGAAATGGAAGCAAGTTTGGTTTGGTTTCAAAGCTTTGGTGTAAAACGAGCCCTAGTGTAAAATCTAGGTGTGGGTTATTCTGGGAATAATACCGTTACTAGCGTTAGTTCGATTACTTTCTTATCTATTGAAGAGAGTTCTTAAAGCGAATAGACCAACCAAGTGTTGTTTCGAATGAAAATGGTTCTATGTGTTTGTAAAATCTGTATAAAATTAAAAGCGACGACGGCTTGGCTATTCATGTTTGATTTTTACGTGCATGGAGTAATTCTCTTTGATTTCTCGAGAGAATGGGTTCGTGGAAAGGTTAGGGGGTTATCGTTAAAATTATTGTCCAATGCAAATTTAAGAATGTTTAAACTGTTATGGGTTTATTACTGGGCGTATTGGTCAATAGTATTTAACTTAGGCGCCCTAAGCACAGCGAAATTTGGTGGTAGATAAAACTCATTTTCATACTATTTTCTTTCCCCTGACTTTGGAACAAGTTTCTGGCTCGGTCTGCTTTCGAACCCTTTCCTCTCAGGTTTGTTGAAAATATTTAAAATAGTTAACCACGTTTCATAGATTTTGATTGAAGAATATTTAGTTTTTCACCGAGAATTTAACCGGTTTTTAGTGGTACGTACGAGTTGTTATATTACATTTTGAAATTTGAAAAAAATAATTATTATTGATTAAAATACTGATTGAGTATTTATGTTTTCAAATACTTCTATCTGCAATATTCCGCTTAGACAGTAAACGATTTTTTCACGCGACTTTTGGATCATGAAAATATGATGAGTCTTTGGGTCGAATATGATTACATTTTAAATTGGTTTTAAATTTGAATTTCGTTAATTTAATTATCGAACTCATAAACCGATGAATTATCGAAGTCATTCCTCCCTTTTCTGTACGAACTAATCAGAAGCTTCAGCTCGAGAAAGAGTAAGTTGCGGTGTTAGAGACAATAAGTTTTGTGTTGTTTAGATAACTACACGGACAGTCGTATCATCTCTTAGACAAAATGGAAGCAATTAAGAAGAAGCTGATGGCTCTGAAGAACGAGTGCGACCAGGCACTGGACGAGGCAGAACAGGCCAAGGAGCTCCAGAAGAACGCCGAGGACAAAGTCGCCAAGGTAGCATCAGTTAAAAATACCCTAATTACACCCTTCATATCGATGGGGTGCGACCAGATTTGAACACCCCCCCCCCCCCCCCTGCAATCTCAATTCCAGGGGCGTGAGGCTGGCTTATCCGCTTTTGGCCTAATACTCTGACCTCATGTCCTGATTTCATATCTCGATCCTAGGAATAATTTGGAGGCGTTGGGGTGTAAAATTGAAAATCACCTGTCTGATAGATTTTGGTATTTACTGTCTTGGTATTTTGGTATTTAAGATATTTAAATGCTCGTGAACTCTTATTGTCCTCATGTAATCCTAGCTATAGATAACATGATTCACAAATTTTCTATATAAGAGACGTTTTTAAAAGAGTTGTTTACAACTCAGTTTGATCTCATTTCAAAACAGAAGGCGGATCCTCCTCCTTAAACAGACCAAGTGACAATCTTCCCTCCCTCTATATTATTTGAGTTAAAATGCGTACCACTGTATGTAGAGAACACAAAGCGGATTAGCATTGAATTCGAACTCAGAACCAAGTCATCATCTTCCCCCTCAATCTGTTTCAGGAAGAAGGATGCTTAATTGGTCAATTATCGCTTTGAGATGCGAGAAAAATAAATAAATAACTTTTCATTACTATTATCAGTTTTTCATCGAAAAACACTTGCGGTCATTCGTAAATAATCTTTTTTTTTAACTACCACTAACAAATTTTAGTCATCCATTAGGACTGCATCAGCAGTTAGTTAAAATAAAGGCTTTTTAGCACTTGAATATCGCTGAATTTTAATAACGCTGAACTTTGAAAACACTGTTTAACGACTACATTGTTATAAATTTGCACCCGAACCCTTTGCCCAAATTTTCACAATAATCGGAATATTTGAAAACTAAATGTTTTTGTAATGATAGATTAGAAATTATGATAGGTTAGATTTATGACCAGGAAAGCATTTTTCAAAGGAATAGCCAGAGTTGACATATGAAGCGAGTCATACGATTTGAAAATCGTATGAGAAAAAGATGACAAGCAATTTTCCGTTAATGAAACTGTATGACTTTTTTCCGTAAATGGAGTCTTATGAAAGACATTTTCCATAAATGAATAGAAAAAACGTTTTTGTTTTTGCTTTATATTTTTGTGTATTAGTTTGAAACACAACAACGATAGAATTTCTCAAACAGGAGAACCATTGGGTTAATTGGCGGTGAATTTGCAAATCAAACTACATATTGGGACACGCCAAGTAACTTAGAAAAATGAATAAGACACAATTTTGTTTCTAAATGGCTATAAAGCTTCCTATAAAGAGTTTTTCAATCGTTGACAATCGTGGTTTTTTTGGACAGATTTAAGTTTATATTGTCATTAACCAAAACAAAACATGATAATTTTGACTTCATTTTTCACTTTTTTTTTAGTTTTTCGTTTTTGTCTTTGGAACACATTATAGTCAACTTTTATTTAAAAAAAATAATCTAGAACAGATTTAGCAACTAAATAATGATAAAAAAAAAATTTTGCAAATTTTTTCTCTCATAAAAACGCTTATCATGCTAATCTTACAGTTTTCACGAATGGAAAATGTATGACAAGCATTGATTTTATGCAAAAGAAAACCAATTTTTGACAAACACAAAGCTTTCGATCAGTAAACAGGCATAAATTTCATTAAAACAAGTTTAAATGGTTCTACGTTTTGATTTTTTAATGAAAAAAATCCTTATGAGAACTTTTTCATTATGAAAGTTTTATAATAAGCATTTTTTTGAATAGAGATCCACCCAGGAACTCAGAATAAGTAATGAAAAATGTTGTGATCTCAGCCCAAGAAAAAAATTTGATTTTATGAATCTAACTTTTTCAGGATTGAGGTGCAAAATGCGATCACTTCAAACCAGAATTTTTACACTGAGCAAGTATTCAACTACATAAAAATCAATAAAAATTAGTTTTGAAGCAAAAAATCTGAGTTTTGGTGTTGAAAATAGAGGTTTCTTGGAGATCATGAAGAAAGACAAATTACAGAATGTATAAGGACGTTGTATTGTCTTTGTAAAGACGAGTCAATTTGTGAGATGATCCTATAACTTAGGCGAAACTCAAAATTGCTGATTTAATAAAGTCAACAAGGACATTTTTTTCATATTCCGACAAAAGTACATGAACAAATAAATTCTAAGATAAGTGATAAATTTTTTTCGATCATTTTTTTTGAAAAAAAAAATTACATTATTAGCTTAAATTAATAATCACAAAAATTAAAAATCCGATGATATATTTCAACAGGTTGCAGATTCAAGTTAAATAGCTGAATGTTATACTTATTTGTTATACTTCAAACAGCAATTATAATTTAGTTCAGCACCAAATTGTGTGGCATTAGAAGTCCAAAGTCTAAAATTTTTTGAATCACATTTCATCTGACAGAGTAATGCATAGACAAAAACGTGATCTTAGGAGCATGTACAATTGATTGAAAATGAAGCGATTATATTAGGCTTAAAATTTTTCAATGTTAATACTTGCTCTACTCAAATATTTCTACCTATTGTAATATATCACCAAAAATCCATATTTTTAGCTTTTCAAAATTTTATCCACGCGTGGCTTTAAGACAAAAAGTTTAACACAGTTTTGAATCTACAAAACAGAGGTTTTGGTCAAAGTTAAGGTTTTTTCCGTCATTATGTTAATTTTTTTTGTTCGACATTTTATGTTCAATATATTGTTGTTGTTTGTTTTTGTGTGGTGCAGTTGGAGGAGGAGCTGTCTGAGGCTCACAAGGCGTCCAAGCAGGTGGAGGATGAGCTAGACAAAGTACAGGAACAGCTGGACAAAACCAACCACCAACTAGATGACGCCAACAAGGAGAAGGCAAGTCAAATCAATTTTCACAAAACACATTTGAAAATTTTTTACAGGTCATATAACACTCATACTAATCCAGCTCAAAGTCATTGTTGAAATGTTTTGAAGTTTCCATCGCCATTGACCTCGAGCAATTATTGCATCAGATAAAGCAAAACTGGAGCAGTCAAAAACAGCAATCGAAGCCCTGAAAGCTTTCGAGTTTTTGATATTTTAACTTTGAGCGATGGAGTTCCTATTACCATGGCTATAAAACTCACAGCCTCCAATATAGAAGGCTGACATGTCGTGAAATTTCGAACAGAAAATGACCCAAAATAGTAGTAACTTTCACAAAACCTTATAATTTGGTTCTAAGTCGAGCAACTGACATTGCAAACCATCAAATTAGAAACTAACTCCTTGGTCTATACGGTATTGAACTTATGGCCTTGTGTTTTTGATAAGTATGTCTTTTCAGGCCACATCGGAGGCGGAGTCGGCGGCGTACCAGAGGAGGCTGCAATTGGCGGAGGAGGAGTTGGACAGGACTACTGAGCGACTGAACACAACCACCGAGAAGCTGGAGGTTTCCGAGAAGAGAGCCGACGAACTCGAACGGTAACTACAAAGCTACACGACTATACTCTTTTTCACATTCTTTTTTACCTTCAGATTTTTCTAGTGACTTTTGTCGCAAACAATATTACCTTCCCCAATCACCAGGTGAAACTTCGATACATCACTTATTGCATGCATTTCTTGGCTTTTCCAAAAACATTATGTACTGATCTGGTTCTTGAATTTCATTCTCTTGCTTATGACAAAGGAAAATGGTTAGACTTTTAAAAATTATTAAGAGGGGGAGGGGGTCTTTCTGAAATTTTCAGGAGAGAAAGTCTTTGCCACGGCGAAAGTTTTTGCTGCATGCACTAAAAATTCATCATTAAGGATAAAATGACAAAATTATATGAAAAATAATGTAAGATGGGGGGGGGGGGGGGGTGGTAAAACGGACGGAACTGTGAACAAAACATTTGTTCAGCGTTTATTTAATAGTGGTTGTTGGTGGTTACTCAAGGGGGGTTTGTACTGTTTGTGAGTGGATTTTAGAGAGAGGAAAGTGCTGGAGAACAAGGCGATGGATGATGACGACAAGATAGAGATGTTGGAGATGCAGCTGAAAGAGGCCCAGCTGATCTCGGAAGAGATGGACAAGAAGTTCGACGCAGTCTCCAGAACCCTCGTAGTCGTGGAGGGCAACCTCGAGAGGGCCGAGGAGAGAGCCGAGAGCGGAGAGACGTAAGTCATTCGTGCGACTAGTATCCCACAACAATTCTGCTACTATTACTCAAAGCTATTGGTTTCGGATGAGGTCATTTTTTCAATTTTAGTACGTATTTTCATTCCGATTTGGTGACGTAAGACAATGCAGCCAATGATCCGGCGATTGCTGTAGCTTTAGACGTAACTGGTATAAATATAATTGGGTTTTCTGTTCAAACTGAACAATTTTTTAACAAACAAGTTGTAAAATTATGAATCATACATTCTTGTACGAACGCTACAATTGTTTTTTGAGTTTCGTTAAGACCGATGATTAAGGCCATTTATTTAAATTAGCACCATGACCATAATTATAAGTTTTCAGATTCTAGTCATGACCAAATAGCTGAAAATATCGTGGTTATCGGCTTAAAAAACTGCTCGAAGATCATTGCTCATGTTAAACTATGGTTTTAAAAATGCTATTTTTAGAACTTGTCTTAATTCAATACTCTACATTTTCGACGATATATAACTTGTGCCATTTTAAAATAGGCTTATCTCTGTTTAACAGTTCAGAAGAACCTTTTTAGTAAAGGTTTGTCTCCAAGTGAGTTGAATATGACTTCTAAAGGTGACTCCTAGTCAAACCAGTTGATAATATTGGGCTAAAAGAAATCAATTTAGGTATATATAGTAAGGTTATTGCACGATTGCGAGAAATATTTATGATTTTTTGAAGGAAGACAAAATTAAGCAAACTGATTCACTTCGCTTGTTTTACCATTTTTAATATTCTCTCACGGAAACTTGAACTTGAAACTTGATGAAAAACCACCTGCAGATATCACCAGATGTTTTAAATCATTACTTCATGATCTTTTTAGTTAATTATTTCATGTAAATCTAAGTTTTATTCCATCGGTTCTTGAAGTCATGACTGACGTATCATGCAAACTTCATATAATAACTCAGGGGCGGATTTAGGGGGGAAGCGGGGGGGGGGGGCGGACGCCCCTTTTCAGGGATTCGACCCCCTGCCGACCCAAAGGGTCCCCCCTTTGGTACTTTTAAGAAGTCCAGTTTTGGCCGAATAACCTTAAAATTTTTCTAAACGCGCCTTCGGCGCCAATATATACTAATTTTGAGGGGGGGTTAGCGCGCGCCGAAAAAACGCAATTTTTCGGTCAAAATTTTCCAAAAAGCCTAAAAACGCCTTTTTTGGCCTATTTTTTCAAAAATTTGCCGGCGGCGCACAGCATAAAACAGTGCTTTGGGAGAGCTCGAAAAATCAATTTGGTCGACCTAAAAAAGGTCGAAAAAATTTTCGAAAATTTTTTGAAAGTCCGTCCCCCCCCCCTCGAGAAAATCCTAGATCCGCCCCTGTAATAACTTCTCGTTCGCAGTTTAAGGGTACTTAGGGCATCTTCCTCGCGAGCAAAAATGAACCTTGGGTATTTTTACCTGGTTTAATCATTTGAACCCTCTAATTAATTTGATTATCAGAGTCTCCTGCCATTGATGGTTTCAGGTAAATTTGAAAACAGAAAATAAGGCCTCTCAAAAAACGAAAATTGGTGAAAACTGTTTGCTGACTGTTCAAATATTAAGTTCACCATTTTACAGTGAAAACAGCTAATTTCACTATAGAATCACTACACAACTTGACTTTCACATAAAGGCACACTAAATTTATCTATTCACGAATAAGAATTGCGTATATGACCGCACTTGTTATCTATAATTAAACAAAAAACTTCAAAAATCAAATTTTTAACATCAGTTTTTTACCCTATCCAGCATTTAAATACCATCATTTTAGTATTCTTGGAGCACCTTAAACAAGAAAAATTGCGATGGAGTTTTAATTAATTAGTTGACGCAATTAATAATTAATTACTGCAGAAGTGGTTAGCCTGTTATGACAAGTAATGACTAACCGGGGAAGCGTTTTTCAGTCTGCATCACAAAACGACAGACAAAATGAACACCATAACTTTGAAATGGCACAAAAATCTGCGTCAATGGAACAATTAGCTGAATAATTAATCCTAGCAGCAAAAAAAAACGGCTATAAATGAAATTGATTTGCACATTTTTCTGGAGTTTTGGAAGCATTCTGCAAACAGTTATCAAAAAAGTTAGAATTTTTTGTTTGTGCATGTGGACTGAAAAGGCAGCTGCCCCGTACTAACTAACCACTCGGGGTCAATCTGAATTGGTTGACTACCGAGGGGGTCACTGTATTGTGTTGTGCTGTGTTGTGTTGTTGTTGACTACTGTGATTTGCAGTAAAGTGCTTGAGTATGAAGAAGAGTTGAATCTGCTGGCGAATAACCTCAAGTCGGTAGAGGTGGCGCTGGACAAGGCCAACGAGAAGGAATACGAGTACGAGAACACAGTTAAAGACTTGGACGAGCGACTGGAGGAGGCTCTGAAGAGAGCCGAGTTCGCCGAGAGGACTATCAACAAACTCGAACAGCAGGTCCGCCGTCGCCTCAATTTTCACCTTTTTATTACAAAATTTTTCCCAATTTCATTCAAATTCAATGTTTTCAGGCCAACCCCAAATTTGTAGTGCCTTCTTTTGAATGATTTTTTGAGGGTTTTGACAATTTTTTGGACCACTTTTTGTGGGTTATGTGGAGGCTGAAATCGTAAATGGAATGAAACTTTGATGATTGAAAAATTATTCACAAGGGAAAGGAAACACATACGAACTGTTCAGTTGTTAACGTAGAACCGCCCGGGTTGACAATTCTACAAGAAATTCCCCCTATCTTAGAACTTCTTACAAGATTTGTAGTAAAATCCACTATCTTACAAGTTTCTTACAAATTTTCTTACAAATAAATAATTAGAGTGAGAATTTAACTGAAAACGCTTCCGAATTTCAAAAAAATTCAGAAGCGTTAAAAACACTGAATTTCAAAAAAATTTTATAATGTTTTGATAATTTTTAATGTTTCGAATAACTTTTTTCTATAAATCTTGCAGTTTTTTATGAGAAAAGTTGTAAATTAAGACCTTTTCTCACAAAAAAAAATCTCAAAATTAAATCCAACAAATAGCTTTAAAGTTTCGCACATCGTGCAAAAAACTGTACCTGCACTGAAAAAAAATCATTTAAATTCGGAAGAAATTTTTTCCAAGGAATTTTTCCTATCTTAGTAGGAATTATCAGGTTTTCGCAGCTCATTTTAGTAAAAAAATATTTTTAGGTAACTATTTTCTTAGCTGCGCACTGTTGAGCCCTGCTTGAAATTTACATGCAATTTTTGTGTTTTTTTTCGGCTGGGTAATGTTGCCTCACCCGCAAGCAACGAGCATGGTTCATGGTCGGCCTCGAACATCCGACCTTTCACTACCAAGCCAATTAGTTTAAGAGTTTTCTGATAACAAAATACTATTTTTATTGGCAGTTCATTGACAACTGATTCGAAAAAAATGATACAAAAATTCATATGAGATTCGATACTGAAAAATAATTTAATGGCAAATTCGTGCAAATTATTTCAATACTGTTTTGGTTTTATAAATTTTTTAAGTGATTTTTTTTACAGCTGGACAACGTGGAAGAAGACTTGTTCAACGAGAGATCCAAATTCAGAAACATCATGGCAGAACTTGACCAGATTTTGGCTGAGATTACCGGCCAATCATAACTCTCCAAACTATAAAAACGCAACCTGATATGTCATATAACAAATCTATTAACTTGCATGTGGAGCATCGCAGACACCAAGCAATATCATCTAACTAACAACACAGCTATTCATTTGGCAGCAGAGATCCGGTTTAGTTTTGAAGACATTTTTAAATCAGTTTTCTCCAGACTTTGTATTCTGTAAGAAATTGACAGAAGCGCCTTTAAGGGAGGGCCTTTGACAGGTAAAAAAAACTCCTAATCTGATAATGATTTTGCAGGCCGATCTTATACTTTCAAAAAGGCGCCAATCTATACGAATTTGAAAAAGATAGCACGCGCAAAAAAGCAATTTGTCAAAAATACTAAGGAAAAACGTTTTTTTTTAAATACTTTATCAAAAGTTTCCATAAAAATCGCATTCGAATTATCAACCAAAATTTCATCTCCAATTAACTTAGCTTTAATTTTTTTCACCGGGTGATCTTGGGTGATCCAGGTTAGTTACATATATGAGCGCCTTAATTCCAGTGTTTGTGCTCATTAGGCCATTCCAATGGGAGACAAATAGTCTTCATCTATGGAATATGCACTCGTGCAACTACCGAACCGTTAGGTTGTCGACTCTATGAAAACGCTGAGTAGTTACAGCTTTAGAAATCATTTGTAGTGCTATGAATTTGGGTGGTAATTGGACTAAAAGGCTCAATCGTTTTTTTGGTGAGGTAGAAAACCTCTTTCTGAGCTTCGCTTTTTCTTTTTAATCCATCCACCGCAAAGAACGCCTCAATTACAAAAGGTAACATATAAATTTAGATGTTAAGTTGAAAGATCCGTTAGATTTTAATCGATCTTGTTAATAACATGTTTTCCCTCTGCACTACCCTATAACTTTGATATTTTAGCATCTTTATGTTTTGATTGCCCTGAATTATCTCCAAAATGTCATTTAATTCTATCGTAATAAGATGATATAAGCAATATATGTTGCTATTAATGTTTGTTATTATAATGAGTTGTAACCTGTTAGTAAAAACGTGTGAGTGACGGGTGTTGGGTGTGTGTGTGCAGGAAGATCACCGAGTACGAGGAGGAGCTGAACATGTTGGCCAGTAACCTGAAGTCGGTCGAGGTCAACTTGGAGCAGGCGAACGAGCGGGAGTCGGAGTACGAGACGACAATCAAGGACCTCGACGAGCGACTGGAGGAGGCACTGAAGAGAGCCGAGTTCGCAGAGAGGACCATCAACAAACTCGAACAGCAGGTAAACATTTTAGGGATATGTGCAATATGCAACCATAGTACCTTTTCGACCCCCTCCCCTTGTACCGTCTACGTCTATGTACAGCAAGTAACCCCCTGTACCCTTTCGACCCAACTCCTATGTCCAAGTGCAACAACCAACCCTTTTATCCGTTCGATGACGCCCTAACATCTAAGTCTAAATGCAACGTAAAAACTATTACCCATTCGACCCGATATCCATGCGATGAAATATTTGAATTCGTTGAATACTTTTCTGCATCGGTCTGGAAAACTCAATCATTGACTTCGGTCATCTCGCAAACTGATCCATTCGATTAATTTTTCATTCACCGAACATGGATGCTTTGGCATTATCGTTTTTGTAAAAGTGATCCAATCCAATTACGTTTTGGAACCTTTTTTATTATTAACAATTATTAAATAATTATTTTGCTTTTTTTTTGGTGGCGTTTTTTTGAGCTGAAATGCAAAAAAGTTACCGTGAATATATTATAAAATCATCTTCAAACTAAAGAGAAATTGTTTATTCTTACTAAAGCTCAAACTTAAAGAAGTGTCATTTTTAGCTGGACAACGTGGAAGAAGATTTGTTCAACGAGAGATCCAAATTCAGAAACATCATGGCAGAACTTGACCAGATTTTGGCTGAGATCACCGGACAGTCATAAGGCGCCAGAGGAGCTGCCGGAACCCAGTGACGCCCAAGATACCAACAAAGGAAACAAACTATCCCTTTTTCAGATACTGCTAACTTGTATTATTTGAACTCTTAATAATAAGTATCCAATAAATTATTAATTTACGTAATTGTACACCATTTAGTCTGCCTGAAAGAGCCAGAGATTTTGATCAATCACAGAGCCACAGATTTTGGTGGTGATTCTTGCATTTTTATTAACTTTTGCTTCTATTGTTACTATTATGAATAAATTTACTCAAATATTAATTGGTTGTTTCAATTAAGTTGTCTTCGGTTTCTTGGAACAAATAATGAATCATAAGACACCGCATCAACGAACATAAGCTAATACTGATGTTGGATCTCGCGCTCTAAACTATGCTGTTTTGTTTCAAAAATTCCAAAACGGTGGCCAAAAATTTCATCTAGTTCAACGATTTCACAAAACTGGTTAAAAATTTTGGGTTTTTGCTGCAGAAGAGCTCAGAAAACCAATTTGACAACTTATTTTCTAAATCTTAAAATTAAGCATTTCCACAACTGTTGTAAAAGTGCAAATATTGTGCTTGATTTTATGTAGAAAAATCGTATCATAACGAAGCCCTGAAATTTCTACTGCCTTTTCAGGACTATGGAGAATTTTGTTTTCTAAAAATTGATGAGTTTTTTGAAAATCATCCCTCAACTCACCGTATTTAGTACCAAGTGATAGATTTTGTTCCTAGTAACGTAGCAATCATGACAACTAGCATTTCAACCAATTTGGAACGATTTCTGTGACGGATTAATTCTCCGCATACCCATTAATAGCGGGAAATATATGGTGCGTTACTTGTTTCAAACTGGCTTTATTTTAGCAATCATTAAACCCCCACATTTTTACAAAAAATGAATATAACTGAAATATTTCTTTTAAATTTGACAATAAAAACCATGGTCTAAAAAAATCTCCCCAAAGGCTACAAGGTGAGAAACAAGATTTATGGACAAAAGCTAGTTCAACACTTTGTTGAGCGCTTCGACGAATTCGCGTGTTCTGACGTTCGATAGACGAAACATGGTTAAACTGTTTTGATTTTAAACGTTTTTGTGAACCTAGTAGATATTGTTGACATGCATCCGTCAAATGAACAGTAGAAAAAACTTTTCTCAATTTAAAGCGTCTATCAAAATATAAATATTTATTTTAATCAAAATTGAATTCAAAAAATAAATTGGAACAAATTCAAAAAACAACTCTTTTTTCTTCCCCATTTTGAGAATACATTCAAAAACCGTTAAAAAATAAGGTAGCTTGAGCGAATTTTATGCAAGGTTGAAGCGGTTGGAACGAACTTCGACTTGTTAATTGTAGTGTCATATAAAAAACTCTTACAGTGGTGAAAATCATAAAAAAATGAAATAAAAAAAACTTCCCTGTGATCAATTGTGAGGCTTAAAATTGCCAATAAGGCCAACTTGAGGTAAATAATAGGCAATCTTCACCAGTTTTTTTTGTGTTTGTTCGTCAAATAAAATTGTCCGTGGCATCATTCCAAAATAAAAACAGCAAGATTTATTACTTTGTTCCGATTTTTTTTTGGTATTTTGTTTGACTTTATTCTTTAACTAGCCAAAAGTTATCTCAATTACCTTGAATGCTATCAAAACTCTCAAATGAGCGGTCATCTTCTTCCGATTTTCAATTCAAAAACAATACGGAAATTTTGCGCTCATAATGTTGTCTCTTTTGACCAATTTTGACTTATTCAGCTCAAAATTATACAAATTTTAAATTTTGAAATCTGGAAATATTTCGGCAGAAAGTTGATTCTTAAACGAATTGAGGCCAATTAATTGATGAAAAGACTCCGTTTGCAGACGCAAAGTTTATCAAAGTGTACATAACGCTTTGTATGGGGAAAGGATCTCAAAAAACTGAAAAAATATTGAATTAAGAAACTAAAATAGATAATAATTTTATATTTGAAAACTGACGAAAGTCAAAACACTCGCAACAGGTCTGTTTAAGCTTTGCATTGTCAAAATCATTAGATATCGGACTAAATTGCATTGCCTGACACTATGAGTTGAAATTCTTACAAAATTTATGACTTATATAGCTACAAAAGTGACCAAGTTGATTTGTATTGAAGCCCACAAGTTCTAACAAAAAATTTGAACTGTCAAAATAGATAAAAACAATAAAAAAATTTTAATAATCCAATTAACTATTGTTTTCATCAACTGTTTTGTTCACGTAAGACACATCGCACGTTTTTTTGTTCGATAAATTTATTAGATTTATAAAAAAAAAATTAAGGATGAACAAGACTGCTCATGTGTTAAGACAAAGCTCTGAATATTCCAATTGCCCTTTTATCAATATCGAATAGTTTTTGGGGAAAAAACCATAAAAATTTATAAGTTTTGGACAATATCAAATTGTGAAAAACTCAGTTGTACAGTATTAATACGACCGATTAGCTAGCCTCAATTCAATTTGGAACATTTTAATGCGCGGATAAGTCGACACATATTTTGCGTTACGCTGTCAGCATTATCAAAATCTTCAAGTCACGCATAAAAAATTACTTCAGAGCATGGCCAAGTTGGTAATTTTTAAGCTCCCAGAACTTCGAAAAAATATCGGAGGTGAATAATCTTTTACGGACCAATCGTACAGCCCCTCCTTTCCCCCTCAAATCAATATAGGGGGGAAGAGAGGAGAAAATATGGATTTAACATAAGCTAATTTTGAGTATAGACTAGATTTGTTCAAAATTAGCAGTATAACTAAAAAATCTAATTAAAATATTACTTGTGTAATTAATAGCATAAAAATTCAATTCCGCGAAAAAAATTGTAGAAAAATTGTAGAATGTTATTTGTGCGTTTGTCTGCAATGCATATTTTACACAGAAACAAAGTAAAGGCTTGCGATGGGCATTCTACGGTAGGTCACTTAATGGGTGGGGGGATTGTACGGTGAATCCCTTTTTTTTTCTTTTTTTTTCAGGGAGTCGATAATTTCAATAAGGTATAAAATTTTTATGTATAAAAATATTATTTCGATTGCAGGAAATTGACTGTAAAAAAACTACCCCAAGCATATTCGGTTTTCGTCGAAAGTCGAAACAAAAAAAATTCTTGACTAATTTTGTGTTGCAATTGAAAAAGTTAAATTGGCAGATACCAGTTTCTTCAGACAAAAGTGTTTTCTGGATTTCAATAAAAGGTGTTTTTTTTATTTTGTTTAAATTTTGTTTCAATTTTGTTTAAATTTTACCCCAGAAACGCGTCATTTTTGTATGTTTGTCAATTAAAAATTACGCCATGTTTACAAAGTCAATTGCTGAAACGAGTATAACAAATTGATTCTCCTCTTTAGGCCTTAAGATGGGGGTATAGTCATCTAAAGTTTCTAAGGCAATTATTTTCGTTTGGTAGCTGAAAATGCCACTTTCACGGAATAAAAGCAAATTGTTAACTTAAAGACAGTTTTTGAACAATTTGCACAGCTGTTGGGATATGCTTCTCTTGATTTTTGTTAGTCAAAGAAGGAAGTTTAGTTTGATAAATTTGTGGCAGCAATTGGCTTGGTAATTTTGGCGCAAATTTTAATGGACAAAAACCCGAGTTGACAAAAACGTTACTCAAACAATTTCACATACGTCACACATCTAGAAAAGATCAGATAACTTTACGACTAGCAATTTTTTACAGTGTGAAGTTGTGTGACTAACATTTCTTTGCAGAATGAAATTGTGTGGAGAGCTTTTTTCGTTGTATGAAATTGTGTGACTGCCTTTTTCTCTGTGAAAAAATTGAGTTCGTTGAGTTTGCTTCAAGTTTTTGTGTTCCTTTCTAAACACAATAACCAAAAGTTTTCTCATTTGAAAAAACGAACCAATTCAGTGACAAGAATCTCGCAGATAAACTGCATTTTGAGGTTTGTGGTGTAATTTAAGGTTCTAATTCCACACGTAATTATATTTAAATAAACAATATTATAATTTTTGTGTACGGCTAAAAAGCTTGTTTGTGAATTTTGTAAATTGCGGCATGTTTTTTTGATAGACTTTTTTTGCCATAGCAAACCAAACAGAAATAATTATAGATACACACAAAACCCACTTTTTGGTTTTTGTTACTTTTATGCGGAAAAAAACAGAACTAAAATTTTTTTGACGAAAAAATGTGCAATCAAGTTTCAATCTCCAAAATCAATTTTAATACCATTACTTTTAAATTTCGGTTTTGTAAATCTCGAGTTTGTTTTGTTGATGCAGAAAAAAAACACTAATTTTTGAAAAAGATTTTGTCATGACTTTTTGTTCCGACCATTGAAAATAGGGAAGAATTTTTTATACCGGTGTGTTTTGAGTTTTTTGTTTTCCACGCAAAATCAGTTACCATAATTAACCATCAGACTGGTTCGGGTGATTTATCATATTAAGGCCCTTTCAGTCGCAATTCAAACGATAAAAAAAAATCATTTTTTCTATTTTATATATTTTACTGAAAACAATTGTAGTCGTTTATGCCTAAATCACTAAATTTCTACGTGTTTGAATAGCTCTATCATTACACGACGTAAGAAAAAGATATTAACTTGAAAAAATTCTAAGATTGCGGTCGGAACATTCTGTCCTACTTGCGCTGCTACCGGCTATCCTTGCTCATAGTATAAAACTGTATGACTAGCGTTTTTTCATTAGCTCTAGGGGCGGATCTAGGATTTTCTCGAGTAGGGCGGATTTTCAAAAAATTTTGGAAAGTTTTGCTGAAATTTTTTTTAGGTCGACAAAATTTTCCGAGTTCTACTAAAGCACTAAAAAGACGCTGTTTTGGCCAAATTTTCTGCGCCGCAGCCAAACTTTTGGAAAAAAAAAACAGGTAAAAAAAGCCATTTTTGGGCACTTTTTGGAAAATTTTGACAAAAAATCACGTTTTTTTGGCGCGCTCCCGCTCTTTTAGGGTCGGTCTTCCAAATATGGATTTCTTAAAAAGTACCAAAGTGGAGACCTTTTGGGTCGGCAGGGGGTCGAATCCCTGAGGAGGGGGGGGGGGAGAGAACGTCCCCCCGCCTTCCCCCCTCTAAATCCGCCCCTGATTAGCTTCATTTGTGAGATTGCATGACTAGCATTTAAAAAACTCAGTATCTACAGTGCTGATTTAAATTAACCGGACAAAACGCGTAAACTTGAAATTTAGAGCCCGTTTTTCTCAAATTGGGTTGAGTTTAGGTGAAAATTTATGAGGACAAAACTTGCTTAAAATTTTAG